CCATCCATGGGCACCACCAGCAGCTTGCCTGCCTCGGCCAGGCCAGGTGTGAGCAGCAGACACGCACACAGGGGGAGCAGGCTGGGCAGCCCTGCAGGAGCCATCGCAGAACCACAGCCCAGAGCAATCGGGCTGCCTGAACGCTAAGCTCCAGTGACACAGCAGGAGGAAGAAGGGCAGGCACAAAACCTGCGCTCAGAAGAGGGCGTGAATACACATGTTCATAGAACAAATCACACTGCTGCCAATGATTGACTCATAAGCACAATAAAAAGTGGGCAGCTGCTGAGACACCCACTCTATGCTCTCCGGATAAGACTATCTTATTATCTTTGCCTTACAAATTTATCCTGCTTAATACTACAATGTGCTTTAGAAACTAATTATTAAGCACTGCCTTGGACTCTGACAATACAGAAAGATAAATAGGAGAGAAAATAAATACAGAAAATAAAAGAAAGCTTGTATTTTTGAAATTTTGACTCAAAGCAAAATGTGGATGTTATCTACAGACTAGAAAACACTCTAAGCCCCAAAACAAATTCTCATTCTCCTGCTCCAAGAAAAGACAGCAAGGCCCTTTGCAGTGACTCCTGACTGACCAGAAATTGACCACATGTGTTTCTGCACTGTATGGCCATTGCTACTCATCTTTCTATTTCCACACCTGTGAAGCCTATGAATTGCTAAAAAAGGGGACAACCCCTCCAACATGGACCATCCCGGGATTTCATGAAGAGTATCTGGTAGATACACTGCATGCGGGGGATAATCACCTGCCCAGAGCTGACCCAGCACTCGGCTGAGATGCCTCTCTCTGCCCTCCATGCTTCTACTTTCTAGCCAGAGGTGTGGAGAGACCTCTGCCGAGGGCTCACCCCATCACCTCAGGTGCCCTCCTTCAGGAGAATATGCATTGTTCTCCCCTATTCTGCTGAGCACTCCTTGAATTTAGGGTGGTCATCCTCACGTTTTCCCCCTCCTTCCACAGCTCCTGTGCTGTGTCTTGCACAGGAATGTGTGCTGCATTGGACTGAACTGGACTATGCAGGGTTCCCAAGTACCTTCCTGGCTGAGCCCATTGGTGTGAGTCAGGGGACACCCAGGGGAGCCCTCAGGGAGAGATTCTGCAGCAAACCTTTGAGCATCATCCTTGCTAGAACAACAGATGCCCCCCACAAGTCACCCTCTTACTGGACATTTGCTTAGTCTCTATTCACCTTGCAGCCTGAGGCGCTCTCATAGGATGGTCATGGACAAACGAAAATGGCAGTGTGTGATCTACCTTCCCTGAGGGCTCACATCAGAGCAGAAGTCAGAGAACTGGAAATAGAAATCACCAGAGGAAAGCGATGAGACAACAGTGGATTTTTTCAGAGCAATTAACTTGCTAAAGTTCTAGCCAGACTGATCAGATCACGAAAAAGAGCATGAGAGAGAGAACAAATAAATTATCAAGGAGGGGAATGAGAAAATCACAAATTCTACAGATAGCATGATAATAAGAGAATATCATGAACATATTTGTGATAAGAAATTCTACAGTGTAGACTGTACGGACAAATTCCTTAAAAGACAGAGCTACCTCAATTTACATAAAACAAATGAAAAACCCACATAAAGGTAATCCATACCTTTTTTGTGGCTTTGGGTTTGTAATTCAAACTTTCCCATAAATAATACATCAATTCCACATGACTTCTCTCCAAACAGGGAGAGAAGAAATAAAACCAATTCCTCACTATCAGTTCCATAAAATAAGAGCATAGGAAATTGTCTAATTCATTCAATCATCCAGGCATTCCCACAATATTAAAATCAGATGAAGACATTAAAAGAAAGAAAAGATATAGACCCTTGGGAACATAGATGCAAAAATTCTAAACAAAATTTAGCACATAATTCAATAGTATATAAAATATCTACAGTACATAAAGATAATACACAATAATCAAGCAGGATTAATTCAAGAAAGGAAAGCTAGATCAACATTAGAAAATCAATCAAAGTTGTCATACCAAGTTCATGGCAGCACTATTCATAACAGCCCAGACTGGAGCAGCCTCACTGTCCATCCTCAGATGAACACTTAAGCCAAATGGGGTAGATATATGCAATGTAATATTATTCAGCCTTAAAGAAGAAGAAAAATCTGACACATGCTAGAACACGGATGAATCCTTAGGACATTTTGCTGAGTGAAATAAGCCAGACACCAAAAGACAAAACTGTATAATTCCATATTTAAGAGATACCTAAAATAGTTGAATTCATAGAATAACAGAGTTGAATGGTGGTTACCCATGGCTAGAAGGAGGAGTGATAGGGAGTAATTGTGTAATCAGTCCAAAGTTTCAGTTTCAGATAATGAAAAAAGTTTTGGGAATGAATGGTGGTATTTAGAACGTCAGTAGACTCACCATTGAACTGTACACTTCAGATGGCTAAGATATAATAACTTTCATGTCATGTGTATTTTTTCCACATTAAAAATGAAATAAATAATTAAAGCAAAGTCACCTAGGTAAAATACCATATCTTCATAAATCCACTGAAAAAATAAAGCCATATAATCATCTCAATAACCATAGAAAAAGTATTTGGCGAAATTCAAAATCTATTCCTGGTAAAAAGTCTTAGCACAATCAGTCAATATAAAATATTTAACCTTAATGAAGGGCATCTTTGAAAACCCCCAGCTAACCTCATACTTAATGGTAATGACTGATCACTCTATTTCTGAGGTCTGATCCATGTCTGTGATGGCATATGTGGCTGGCCCCATAACCACTGTGCTACGTATGCCAAGTCAACTTTAAAATTTTCAAATGTTGGTACTTTAAGTCACACAGCAGCAGAATATTTTTGGAATGCTCTCTCCTCCAAACACACTGAGGTCCTATGGAAGGACCCCTTAACTGGTACCTGGCAAGGGTCTGATCCTGTGTTTATATGGGGAAGAGGACAGATTTATGTTTTTCCTAGAACAGCTCATAGCCCTCTTTCGCTTTCTGAATGACTAATCAGACATGGATCCAGAACAAGGACTTGTCCAGCCAATGAAGAAACTGAAATTGACTCTCAAAATGGTCTACCACTGAGCAAACCATCATGGATGGTGAAACCCCTGACATAAGGCCAACTAAAGAAACTGACTGATGAGGGCACTGACATTGTGTGATGTTGTGGAGGGCCAGTCACCCTGGAGAAATTTTTTCTAACAATGATGGCTATCGTTTCTTGTCATTCTTCTGCAGAGTTAAAGTCAAATGATTCCTCCAATTAAGGGCATCCATTCATGAATTGAAGCTAACAAATAAAAAGGGAGGAGATGTGAAGAGTGGGCAGTGAGGCTGCAGGGACCCCCATAGCCTGGGGAGAATTCAGAGAATGAACCCCCAACAATTTCTCCTCCTTTCCAAAACAACCATATACCTTTCTTCATGCTCCCTCTGCTAGAAGTCACATAGCTATTTCTCTAGATAATCTTTAGGAACTATACAGAAATCCTGGGTGTGTATAAATCTGACTTGGGGAGATTTTAACAAAAAATAGCTTTTTAATTTAAAACAGACCTTCTGCCTGTTACATTTTGTGTTCTTAATCAATTAAAAAAGCCAAATAGCATTTTTACTTTTATATTGTCTGTTTTCCACTAGTGTATCCCTGTTGATTGTTTATGGCCTTTTATTAACTGCCATTTTCTAAAATTTTTTTCAATAAAAGGAAAGAAGATGTGAAAAAAAAAGGCAAATGGATATTCTCTTTTCACTTCTGATCTGAAGTGTGATCTTTCCCTTTTCACTTCTCAACATATGGTAACAAAGTTAAGTAGAAACCATTAACAGGAGGATCTGGGTTTTTTTTTTTATTATTAAATCATAGCCGTGTACATTAATGCATTTATGGGGTACAATGTGCTGGTTTTATATGTAATTTGAAAGACTTTCATCAAAGTGGTTAACATAGCCTTTACAACACTTTCTTAATTATTATGTTAAGACATTTATACTCTATACCAAGTGTCCTCAAACTACAGCCCACGGGCCACATGCGGCCCACCTAGGACATTCATCTGGCCTGCCGGGTGTTCTTGCCACTATTGCCTGTCCTACTTAGCAGCCAATTCATCCAGGGGCCTGCAGTTTGGCCCTCCAATGATCTAAGGGACAGTGAACTGGCCCCCTGTTTAAAAAGTTTGAAGACCCCTGCTCTATACTTAGTAGATTCGACATGTACTCTTGTAAGATGCACCATAAATGTGGTTCAACCAATTACCCTCCCTCCACCCAAGCTCCTCCCTCCCCTCCCCCTCCTCTTTTCCCTTCATCTTGGGCTGCAGTTGGGTGATAGCTTTAATATGGAAGTGTGGGTGCTTATATATTGGTTTCATAGTAGTGCTGAATACATTGGATACTCTTCCTTCCATTCTTGAGATACTTTGCTAAGAAGAATATATTCCAGCTCCATCCATGTAAACATAAAAGAGGTAAAGTCTCCATATTCTCCATATTTTTAAGGCTGCATAATATTCCATGGTGTACATATACCACAATGTATTAATCCATTCATGGGTCAATGGGCACTTGGGCTTCTTCCATGACTGAGCAATTATGAGTTGGGCTGCAATAAACATTCTGGTACAAATATTTTTGTTTTAGTGTGATTTTTGGTCTTCTGGATATATACCTAGTAGAGGAATTGCAGGATTGAATGACAAGTCTATTTTTAGATCAGTAAGTGATCTCCAAACTTCTTTCCAAAAGGAACATATTAGTTTGCATTCCCACCAGCAGTGGAGAAGTGTTTCCTTTTCTCCACATCCACGCCAACATCTATACTTTCAGGATTTTGTGATGTGGGCTAATCTTACTGGAGTTAGATGATATCTCAGAGTGGTTTTGATTTGCCTTTCTCTGATGATTAAGGATGATGAGCATTTTTTCATGTGTCTGTAGGGCATGTGCCTGTCTTCTCAGTTTCTATTCAAATCTCTTGTCCACAATGAGATGGGATCCCTTGTTCTTTTCTTGCTAATATGTTTGAGTTCTCTGTGGAGTCTGGTTATCAAACCTTTGTCAGAGATAAAACCTGAAAATATCTTCTCCCATTCTGAGGGCTGACTGTTTGCTTTATGTATTGTGTTTTTGATAAAGTTATTTCTGTTTTCCAATCATATTGAAAAACCAAAAATATGTCTTTTGGCTATGCTACTTCCCCATAAACAACGCTGCTAAGATACTATAAAATAAAGCTGATTTTCTGCTTTGGTGCTGGCTGTAGTTGTCAACTGAGTCAGACCTCTCAATCCCATCCTTCCTCTCTTGTGTTACATTTTCTTGTATTCTCTTGTGTTATATTTTCCTCAATCCCCACCACTTCCCCTCTAGTTCATTTCTCTTCTCTGTGCAGGCTCTCAAAAGTGCCAATATTTTCTTCTAAGAGTTTACAGTTTTAGATTTTCTATTTAGGTCTTTGGTCCATTTTAAGTTAACTTTTGTACACAGTATTAGGGAAAGGTCCCACTTCATTTTTTGGTGTGTGGAAATGCAGTTTTCCCAGCTCCTCATGTAGACAAGACTATTCTTTCCCAATTGAATGGTCTTGTTAGTCTAGTTAAAAATTCAACCGCCCAAGACTGTATTGGTTTATTTCTTGGTTGTCAATTCTAATTCATTGATCTGATTTCCAAACATTCTCCCAGACAACTGGGGGAAATTTAATTATGAACTGGAAATTAGATGATATCGAAGAATTACTGATTATGTTAGGTGTGAGAATGATACTACTACATAGGTATGTAGCAAACTGTCCTTACTTTTAATATTTAGTTTAGTAATATTAGTTTAATATTTAAAATAATTAGGCATGGAATGATATGTCAAGAATTTCACAAAAGCACAGCAGCCAAAATTTTCTTACAGAGGAAAGAAAATAGGGGACAAATGAATCAGTACAACCAAATATTGAAAAGTATTTAACTAAAGGATGGATCACGAGTGCTGATCACACTGTAGACTCTCCTTCAGATAACTGAAAGCTTTTGTAATAAAAAGTTGAAATAAATAATGCTGATGGCAGGACTTAGGCTAACTCAGTGACTGTTAACTTTGAATTGAAATTGGAAGCAGAACCTGAGACAAGCCAGGGAAGTACACATCTCTTATTGTTGTATGAACAAATCCCACTCCCAGTTCTCCAGAGCTATAGCTGCCACAAATCATAGAGACTGAACCTGAAATCCTCACAGCTGAATTGCTCATCAGTTCTGCTAGAACTTACAATGCTGAAAAAAACTGGGACTGATTGTTTTTTACACTGTAATGATATTAATTTCTCCTGAATCATGATCTGCCATCCTATTTACAGAATTTAATTATACCCCTGGGTAGACTCAGTAATATTTTGGGACAGGAGACCCTCAGGACAACCCCTAAGATCCTAAGGCACCTCATACAAATGCCCATGCACATATACAAAAGCACATGTGCACATACACATGCATATAACATACACTCTGTCATCAGCAGTGTTTTCTTATCACACAAATGAGTTTCATATTGTTATTTCTGTTGTCCAGAAAGATACAACAAACTGTATGGTTTTTTAAAACATAGGTTTCCTGTCTGAAGAAAAGAAGGAGAAATATACAGAATCCATGAGTATTTCAATGAAATTTTCTTTACTTGTTCTGTATGCTAGGCTCTTTCCAGAGAACCCTTTTGGTAAAATATGAATTCCTCTTTGAGAATTCAGCTTGCTTTATACTTGTAAATATACACA